ACACGCTAAAAAGGCGCGGTCGCCAATGGGTTAACCCACTGACGACCACGTGGATCACCGGCGGGACGATTACAAGTATCAGCTAGGCTTACGACCTTCTAGTGATTCTTATGGTCCAATATATGGACAGCTCCAAGATAGGTATGAGAGAATACAAAAGTACATGTAATGAGAATATTAAAAGAGCGTAATTAAGCCTTACCAGTTGGTCATCTACACATACTTCTTACAATACTTTAGGAAAACACTCAAAACGAAATTTTCGTGCCACATGCTGATCTCTGTGAGACCTTCACGACATTATGCATGAGCACGATTTGTTCTCCGAGTGTTTCATTCAACAATCGGTGCATCTTCTGCGGCTCTCTTGGACTTCCACTTTAATTTTCAAACCGCATTGGGAAGGTTTATCGTTGAATCTTCGTGGTAATGGTTCTACGAAGTTCATCCCAACGATGCCTTCCGCCTCTTACTAATCCATCATAGATTTGAGGGGGAGTCATTCTCCCGTCGTATTTTCTAGACTGGAACTTGTTTTATGATCTATATGTTTCTTATTGTTTTATGGTATTCACTTTGTTTAGCCTGCTTTCCACATGCTACGAAGGCTCAGAGGTGGTTGAGAGCAGCTTCCTATTTTCTGTAAACATCATAAGTCAACAGCGGATGCTATAACCTGGCAGTACAATTTGCAGTTGACTTATCACTTCTTGGGTGAAATTTCAATGGAACCTTACATCGAGAAAAAGGCGCGCAGGGAACAAGGTTGCTTTTGGGACCGTGTGGCCCGCCGGCTGTCCACAGCAATAGAGGCGGGGTGGGAAGCGTGCGACTCACGCGCGACCCCAGCTCCTCGCGCACCAGCACGCGACGCATCACGCAGCAGATTTTGTACGTGTTTCGATGCGATCGTTTCACCTCCCTTTAGCTGACCAAATGGTTTTGCATTAGTCCATGGCTTCACCATAAAGTAGTGCAAAACTCTTTAACGTGGAAAGGGGTCCTTTCGGGATCAAGGATTTACTTCATAGATCAACTTTTTACTTGTCAAACGTTCAAAATAAGAGTGATTGCAAAATGTTTCAAACCTAATAAATGCAATCCTTCTGTAAACGTGCATAGTCGATCGTTTTTTACTTGCCTATAATAAGTTTCTATCTCTCTCATCATGATGGTGAGCATGTTGCTATAGCGCATCTGGCACCGCGCCGCTGTATGATCCGTCCCCTACGCGAGGCGATCTTATTACATCGAACTTCATCACACCCCAGCAACAGCGCGTGAAGAGCGTGATTGATCTCAAGTGCGAGACACGCACAGTAGGCGCGGACGCCAATGACCTAGTGAAAACCTTAGATGCTAACATTGCACTCTTGAATTCTTCAATTGTTATTCCTTTCCCAGTGTTAATCCAAGATTTCTATCCTTACCTTTGGTCTATCCTTCACTTTCTAGCAAAACTCTTACCTCCACGAAAAGTACGTGAAACGGGAGTCACGAAAATGGGTGACTTCGCTCCAAGAAAGATCTTGAAAACAGCGTGACGAAGATCCGTGGAAAGCAGCAATAGAGAAGTTGGAGGCACGGTGACCATAAAATCGTTTATCCAGAACACCTGAAAACGAGAATTACCAGGGAGGCTGCTAGCCTGTACTGATGCTGATAACATTTTCGAAGATTGAACCGAGTAGAATTAGAGGACTGAGAATGTTTCGGCCCACATCGACTTCTTCCGTGACACTCACTTTTGTGCGGATATAGGGCTTACGGGCAGAGTTCTTACCTACACAAGCCAGTAGAGCTAGCCAGTCCAGTGCTGTTTCTTGTGAATCTTCAAGCTACCTCCTATTTTTTTCTGACGCTTTTCAATGAAAGTTTAATAAGGATTAGCACAAACTTCAGAAAGATGTAAATTATAGCAGCATTTCCGGAACAGTACGTGTTTCCGGTCTTATTTAAATCGATTTTACTGCTTTATACAATATTTGTATTGCAAAGTTAATGACTGAAATTGTTGGAAGGACAGAGTGGAAACTTACACGATCATTCACCCATGTAAATAGCTCATGGTTTTCAGTAGCTGAAGCGACTGCAAGTAACACATCTACTATGCACATCACCATCATCAAGGTGAAAGCGGTCATTATGTAGATCAATAGGCCCTAAATTAAAAAATTTCAATAGGTAAATGGAACCTTTCAAAACCCAGTTTTCGTGCACGGATTTTCCGTGGAAGCTCAGCCCAGTCAGTTTGCCGGAGTGAATTTGGATCATTAAAGTGTACGTCTGTCCCTTTCAAAACAACTCCAACAATTCTAGCTGTTTTGCTAGCAAAGCGGATATAGCACAAGACATGCTTCGATCACCTGCTAGCAGCTGAATGGGATGTCGTTGAGAACTGGTTGCCTCACCTTTTCAGCTTGACGCGCAGTTGATATACTTCCATTCTTCAGTAAATTCCTCCATTCGACAAACAACTTAACATTCATACCAAGACTTGCCAATAAGCAAACAACAGCAATGGTTAAGGAAATACATCCAGTTATCTGGAAAATTCTGGTAAATTAACGGTGTGTCTATTATTATATAATACTACTATTCACATCACTGCTGCAGCGCTCTTTGGTTGCTCTCTGTGTATTATAATGCAAAATAATTATTTTCGCAAGCAAAAAGATGAGAAATAAATAAATAAATAAATAAATAAATAAATAAATAAATAAATAAATGAACGAATATAAGATGAAATGCTTCATTCCAAGTACATATATTTTCGTTTAAGTCAACCGGATTAGTGTTGCTTGAGATAAGGTATCAGAACCAGCTCTTTTCGAGAAAACGTGGAGACTTTTATAAGACCTTATATATATGATCGATGAGCTTTGTAATAGTTAGGCTATTGGTTATATGGGATTTGAACTCAGTTCAAAAGATTATCTTCCAACTATCAGCAATTTTGCTGCTGCACCAGCAAATTAAGCATGAGATCACGAAAAATTTCGATCTTGCAAGAGCAATCATGCGGGTTCGAAATGTCACATTCGGGACAGACTAGGTCAAACGGACAAGGACGATATTTTAGGTTTATTCGGAAAATTCAGGAGCTCTTCAGTGGAGGCTGCTGTACAGCACTGGCGTTCAAACCTGTTGCATGGGAGAGCAGACATCCTTCTCTTTCCCTCCTCCCCCATTATGAGATGATATTCGGAAATGAGTAGCGAAAGCGTCTATCAAAGGGCAAGGGACAAAAGGATCAGGTTTTTCGCATGTCTTCAGGTAAAACTAATAATTCATAAAGAGCTAATGAAAGGCGCAGGAAATCACAGTTGTCTGTGAATGTTTCCCAAACACACGTTCATACCCAAAGGGGGTCCGTTCACTTGGATCTTGCCTTTTTCACGTAACACTATTTTATAGGTTACCGAAGGTCGGAATTTGCATTACTATTTATTATGTTTCAAGAGAAAGTATAGGTATCGAAACGATACCATGGCACAATTTTGGGGAACCACACAGCGCTGTGACTTTTCCAGCACGTTGCTGCCTGGCTTTTTCTGATGCAACAAGGGCAAATACGGTCACGAAGAAGTAAGCATACTTACTTGTTTTGGAGGCAGGAATAGACAATTTTGTAAAGCATAAAGTTTCAAATTTTTTAAACAAGCCATATCGTATTCACGCTGTGATTCTTGGACGTTTCGTTTAAGAGATACGCTGCAACTTCTGAGAAACACTTCAAACTAACCGTAGCTACGTGTGGCTCTAATCCTCGGAACTTGAAAGTCCCATCACTACTCTGAGTATAAATCATTTTTGATGTTACAATATAAGCGTTTGCGGCAACTGATGCAGCGTACTGGACGGCTACGATGATAAAAACATTCCTCAGAGTCCAAATCTGAACAAAACTCCTCTGTAATCATTCTAAACGAGTGTGTTGCTAGTATAAGAATATATGTATGTGAGACTACTTGTTGACTCGAAAGGACCGATCCTAGTTACAGTTGTCAAAAAAATTACTGAAGGTGACTATTGGTTCCTACAATGTGAAAACCTTTGTGCGAGGCAGAAAAAGTATCATATGGAAGTGGTCCTTGCATTGATCAAAAGGCATCAACAGTATATGAGTTTTCGGACTGGAGAATTAATATTTCAATGAGGTGGACACTGTGATGATGTCATAACCTTGCAAAACCCCGTCTTTTTCCAATTCTGATCATCAAAGGTAAAACAGCATGAGGGGTAACCATGGATTGCCATGTAGTGAAGGGATTGTAAATAAACTGTTAGGTGTTGGAGAGTATCGCGCAATTTGCTGAATATAAGAGCGATTACACGGCGAAAGTCTAGTTTGATACAACTAGTAAAAAAAATTGTTTTTATTATTATTTTTTATTCAATTGTTCACGTAGACAGAAGCCCCTGATTTTGCTAAACCTTTTTGCATAAAGTGAATAAGTTCAATAATGCCAGATTTAAAGCGACAGTCGACAAATGTGTACAAAAGATCTCCAGTTGTAATTGTACTGATTCTTCCTAAAGTGGAAGAACAGAACTGGGCATATAGGCCGTTTTTAGGACTGTGGCTNGCCGCGATACAATAAAGAATGATATAAGAAAATTCTTTGCTTAGACTGAGCTCGAAGTTCAGTCGGACAACGAATAAAACGAGAAGTGACATTATGTCGGCAATGCCTGAACGGTAATGATGTCTCCTTAAAGTTTTAGCATCTGACCAAAGCCACGGAAGGATGACTATTCGTGCTTACTCTTGGTTTGTCCCCTAATTCTACATTGCCTTNACACGGCGAAAGTCTAGTTTGATACAACTAGTAAAAAAAATTGTTTTTATTATTATTTTTTATTCAATTGTCCACGTAGACAGAAGCCCCTAATTTCGCTAAACCTTTTTGCATGAAGTGAATAAGTTTAATAATGCCAGATTTAAAGCGACAGTCGACATATGTGTACAAAAGATCTCCAGTTGTAATTGTACTGATTTTCCCTAAAGTGGAAGAACAGAACTGGGCATATAGGCCGTTTTTAGGACTGTGGCTGTTCAATAGACACACATGAGCCATTGCAATCATAGATGCCTTGGCGGCACTACTGGTACATTAGTAGCTTCCATACCGGTTTGCTCGAAAATATACTGATTCTCAGCTAGTGAAGTGCTCTCCTCAACTGAATGCATACCTCGTTGTATCTGTGCATCAAACATATGGAGGAATACCGATTGAAAGTGATGAACGTATTTCCAAGCATATGAGCAGTAAAAGTTGCTCGTCCAGCCGCGATACAATAAAGAATGATATAAGAAAATTCTTTGCTTAGACTGAGCTCGAAGTTCAGTCGGACAACGAATAAAACGAGAAGTGACATTATGTCGGCAATGCCTGAACGGTAATGATGTCTCCTTAAAGTTTATAATGACTATTCGCGCTTACTCTTGGTTTGTCCCCTAATTCTACATTGCCTTTGATATATTTTTTAACTGTGCTATATTAGTGGTTTCATACCGATAGCGGACTTATTAGATTTTGAGTTTCACTAGTTGCCTTTCGATTTCCATTTTTCGCCTTTTTTGTGATACACTTCTACTTACTCCACCTTTTTTGTTGTTTGCTAACACTTGAAGCCTTCTGAGCTTGATTTAGGTCCACCTCCTCTCGCACCTATACATTTGCCAAAATTTTGTTAGATTGAGGAACTAATCTCTATCATTATTTTCCTTTGCTCCGATCGCAACCATTTACGAGACTCCGGCAAAAGTGGACATAATGTTGTAGATGCGAAAAGAGCCAACTATTCATCCATTCTTATCAATTAACGCCAATGTGACGGTTGCGTTTTTTGTGGCGTGCTTGTTCCTTGTTTCCTTTAATTTTACCCTCTTCTGACTATTTTCTTAGTATCCTTGACGGTTTTCTTGGTTTTTTTGGTGAAGCTCGTCTAAATCGGATGTTGGCACTTCTCTTGGATCCTAGAAGGTTGGCCTAGACTGGCTGAGATATCTGCTACGGGTTTTCTTATAGGACTGTGACGGCAGCCAACGAAGAGCTCTCATTACATCCCTGCTTGTTGCATTATCTGTAAGGAAACCTGATAGATTTATGAAGCCCAATGAGGGTGTAACACGCATCCGGTGTGCTGCCATTATGGTAAGGAAGAAGCGTCCAACGAAATCCGCGTATGCTATTCCTGATGCATTCAAGAATGAGTGCCCCGCATTAAAAAGTTAAAGAATGGGAAAGAGTTTTCACGCCGCCTCTATTTTAAGGGCAAACGCTCTCGCCTATGCTCTGCTTTTTAGAATTGCCGAACTTCCGACATGTTTATAGTAAAAACATGACTTATGAGCAGTAAATTTAGGAAAGAGGTGGTCTGTGGAAACCAACCAACACATATCTAATGTTTAAAGTATGAAGTCGGGCAGCACTTAATTGCTACTCATAAAATGCACTCGGTTTGGTTGACAAAGTTTATCTCTTTCACTCATTGTTACTGNGTTAAAAAATTTTCGATTCTGAAACTTCGAATGGCTCAAGGGTACAGTTCACGTTGATTCCGGGGTACTCTTTACAAGTCAAAAACGCGAAAAGTAGGACTATTCTGTGCCTTAGCGCTGTTGCTCGATTGGAGTGGTTCATTATGTTGACTTTGTCTTCAAAGTCTACGTTAAGGGTAGTGCGGTGCAGCAACTCTTTTGTTCTATCGATTCCTATTCGACCCGCTTCGTTATGGTATAACGCCCGCCTGAGTTGTCCTGAGCAGAAGTGATGCCCCTACAAACACTTTCCAAGACCGTAACCGGCAATTTCAATCTCTAGTTTGATTCATATTACTCATCTGCACTAAACTCCATTAGTGCCACTTATTCAGAATTTTTGTCGTGGAAGCGGATTCGAGTAGCATCCGAAGCGTTCCTCTCCTGGTGATATTTTCCTTGACCTCATATTATCAATATCGAATAATATTTCCACTGTTACCACCTCTTGCTATGCTGGACTACGCGATTGTCTCCTTTCAGCGTTAAAAATCAAGCTGGTTCCCGATAGTTCCGCTACCGGTCTTTTTGTACACAGTCTTCACTGTCCTCTACAATTTTTTGGCAGCATAATTTGACAGCCCATTTTTAGTGATTGGAGTGATTGCACTCTAGTGCTGTATCAAAACTACTTCATTGCTGTCCATATGAAAACTGTTTCACACTGCGTTAGGATCTTCTGTTTCCTTTAGGCTTCCAGAACTTATGGTCCTGATTACTAAAAACAAATCAGGAACCTGCTGCAGCACCAAATTTGTAGGACCGTCAGTCAAATTGTTTAGAGGATTTGGGATTGCTTTTTCTGGAAATTACGACATCGTACATGTATTCCAGGAAAGATTCGGTTGTTAGACCGGTTCGAACAGCAGCGAAACGTTTTATGGCGTCCAGAGCGCTCCAAGGTGTTTCCATGCTACTCCAAAACATAAACATTTCAACAAAGAAACTTCAAGTAGGTAAAGCATAGCAATATGGCAAACCTGTAGAAATAAATAAAATATAGAACGCACTACAGAATACCTTCTCTCTAGACGTTGCTATAGTAAGTAGAATAAATGTGTAATAAAATGAAATAAAAGCTTCCATTAAGGTTTGCAGTATGTTCACTGGCATCTCCTTCAAAAGAAATTGAATTCAAGTGGTACATAGCAGTAAACTCCCAAAAAAGCCCTTTGTTACAATGCTGTATCAGAGGATAGATTCGAGGATCAAGGAGTTACTGCTCACGAAAACGATTTTTAGAACAACAGTATTCGATCAATCTTCAAAAAGACTACGAGACTACGGGATTTCGAGTTAACATCGATTTATTCGTTCCATAGAATGCCGAGTGTAATTGTTTGGAACTGCCAATCTCAAAGCAAGGTACAAAATGATGAATGGATCCTCAATGACTTATCTATGTGTTCATCACTACTCGGATGTATACGGTACCCTCCAAAATGTGTTGACTGGAAGTTTCACATTACTGAATATGACAATGCCAGACTGGGGAGTCTGCACTGAATGATTCTATATTTTCAACTTTCTGCTATAAGGTCACGGAATGTATGATCCAGTCTGAACTGAGCATACCTTTGGAATAAAGCATCAAATTATAAGGGTAAACGGAGTTTAACGGAAACGTAGGGCATGGCGGGATAGTTCGCCTAATTCTCCGAACATAATAGGGATTACAAAGGAAATCTGAAAAAACATGGGGGCCATGGATCTTTAGAAAAAAGATGTGCTCACATTTCTATGACTTTGGCCCTACAACCTTTCAAAATACAGACATATGAGAATAATTGCCAATTAGGCTACCGATATCTGGTCACATCGTGCGAGGTTCGTCCTTACTTTCTTCGATTCTGGATGCTGTGCTAGTGTAGAAAGGTAAATAAAGACCCTCGTGAAAAAAGATGAGTGCACATACTCATACATACATAATATGTACAAGGGCTCTCGGGCATAGGAAGTACAATAACTAGGGAACCTTTAGAATAAGCCTATGTGGGTTTGGCAAGAATGAACATTATCAAGAGGAACAGGCATAACTCTCATACTATGCTATACTACAATTGTATTCAAGTTTATTGCAGTCAGAATGGTGAATCATTGGATATCTGAACAACAGAGCCAGAGTTTCTTTCCAGACGAACTTATTCACGTAATATGTTTTCAGGCTAACATGTAATCAAACAACAACTCATTGTCATCCCACTGCAACAAATTATTGTATAAAATACAAAGGCACGTTAGCATTTGCTCGAAAACAATTGCTTGGAGCACGATCGTTTATGCAATTAGGCTGTAAACCTGACAAAGTCTACTAGATTATGAAGAAAGTGTTTGCCGATTTCATGAAATGGTTACTCGCCTCAAAGTGAATATCACATTAGAAATGATCCTTATTCGATTCTATACGCTTTAAAATGAAGTTGCTTATTTCATTCTCATGAAAATGCAAAGAAAACACTAGAGGAAACTTGAAGTGGGTTCTGTGGCTGAGAAGGAAGCATGGTTGAAGCGAGTTGTGTGGCAGAAGAACTGAAACTTACATGCGCTGGAAAGCGCAAGAGCTTCAGAAGACCTAGCTGCCTACAAAACTACCAAGAGGCTCGCCAAGGCTGCCGTAACGAAGGCAAAGAATACGGAAATGGACGAATGAAAAGTAGGAGATTAGTCAAGTCAAGATTGAAGGAACTCGTCCACATCTTACGACGGGAGCAGTTCGACTATATGAAACGGTCTACGACGGATGCTTTCTCCATGCAGGAAGGAGTATCGTGTGAGATACTCAGCTGAAGCTTAATCACATTCACGAATTATGAGGACCAAGCAACCTCGGGACCGTTCGCTTCTATTTCCGCTCAAGGTCCCAGTCTACCATGACATGGAACTGGTTTATGACATGGAACTGGTTTTCCCTAGCTTTTTGTTTTTTGCGAAGTTGTAACGAAAGATGTTTGACCATTAATGACACTCTAATAACTTGTTCTCTAGTGAAAAGCCACCACTGCGCCGTAAGCAATTTTATTTCCTTTGTGTCCAGTTTTACATATACAGTAGTTGCAGCTGCCCTACCGCTACAATTTGACAAAAAATGCGAAAGGACAAATTTGATCCTTGCATGACAGACAAGCCCCTTCCATGATCCATTTGGGATACACTTCACAAGGAAAAAGTGCGTTTATTCGACATGCACAAGTATGAAACGGTACAATTATTGAAGATTTCGTTATGTAACTTTCAAGCTTTTTATGTTATCAAGAAGATTGAACTGCGAGTCGATGACAGTGCAGCATTAATGAAGAAAAATTACGAAGGATGAACAATCGTGCGACGATGTGACTGCGCTTCCGTTGTTGTTCTTTGAGTACCTGGAAATCACTATTCATCTCTAATGAAGAATCGTATATGAACAAATGTGATCGGTAAAGGGTAATGTACGCCATCAGGTACTGAAGTTTTTTTCACCCACGTTGAGCTTCTCCATAATCATGCTCTGTGATTTACCCACACCATGCTTGGATTGATTACAAACGAATGTTGGAAGTAATAGTCAACTGATCCTGGCATAGGTGATTTTATTATAATCTACATTTCTCTCTTATTTTCTGAACCCATTCAGAATAGTTATTCGAAATAATATTATTTACAAGATTTCTACATATACTAAGAGAATAGACCAAAATATAGTAAACCAGGCCATGACGACCGACTGATGTGTTGATAAAAGCCGCTCCAATAAGAACAATCGTGCATGGCCATGGAATACGGCCCCTCACCAACGATGGAACTGGCATGCAACCAACACAACCGCTAAATCGCTAAACCCCTTCACTGCCCACAAAAGACGTTTTTACATTCGGTTACTTATTCGCTTGTGTGGTGGCCAGAGACATCCTATGGATGGGATTCCTTGGAAGTCATTTTTATCGTGGACTGTCCCTTCAAAGAGAAGTTTTCGCACCATTACCGCACTCTTTAAGCAATTCCTTTTTCATGTAACTCTAAGCTTTCTCTGCTACACTACTCGAACAAAACACTGACCTCCACGAGAGGAACGTGAAACTGGAGTTACGAAATTGGGTGACTTTGACTTGGGAATCATCTTCAGAATGGCGTGGCGAAGATCCGCGGAGAGCAACGTTAGAGAAAGCGGAGGTACAATGACCATAAAATCATTTATCCAGAACACCTGAAAACTTCTCAGAATTATCAGGAAAGGTGGAACTATTCCAATGCTGATAATATAACAGCTTCATAGATTGAAACGAAGAGTTAGTGATTTGACTATTTGCCCACTATTGTAAATTTGGATAGCACGCTCGCTGTACAAACCTCATTATTCACCGTCAATTGGATGTTTTACCTAACGGCGGTTCCATCCCCGACTCTCACGTTTGTGTAAGAAAATGGCTTACAAGCAGCAAATGTTTCCCAAGGCAAGAGCAGTAGAGCATGCCGGTCCAGTGTTACTACTTTTCATGTCTTCATACTACCTGCTCCTTTTTTTAACCCTTTTTAATATTGGGACTGGTGTTAATGTTGACAAGAACGAGCGCTTTTTTGCTTAGCAGAGCATATGTTTTTTTCTGCATATAAATTCTAGCAGCATTTCTACCACAGAGAAAATACGTTGTTCAAGTTAAGTTAGACCGATCTTACTGATTTTTATAACAGCTGTACTGCAAAGTGAGCATAAAATAGGTTGAAGATAGGGTGAAACACTTACGCGATCATTTACCCATGTGAATAGTTCATAATTTGCAGTGGCGGCAGCGACTGCAAATAGCACATCTACTACAGTCATGGCCATCATTAGGGTGAAAGCGGTTATTATGTACATCAGTAGGCCCTAAATTGAATATTTTCAAAACGTAGGATCTCTCGAGCATTAGACTTCGAGCATAGATTTCCCTTGAAAGTTCAACCGGAACAGTTTGCCAGTGATTCGCGCCGAAGTGGATCAGTGCAATGTGCGCTCAAAAAAGCTTACAACAATTTTAGCTATTTTTCCTGGTAAATCAGAGCTAGCACAAGACTCGGCCACCTGTTAACAGCTTAATGTGATATGAGCAAGAATCAATTGCTCTACCTTCTCAGCATGGCTCCCAGTTGATCT